TCCCGGTATTTGCGAGATCCCGCAAAATTTTAAATAAATTGGCAAATAAGCAATTTTGTGCGGTTAACTTTTGTATTAAAATAAATCGCTAATTATCACAATATTCAACAAAAAACTACCTTCAGTCTAACTAAAAAAAATCACCTGTAAGGTTTAGTGTAAAGCATAAAAAGGTAAACTTCTAAAGTACCTCAACAATCATAGTACATTTTTAACGAAAACAGTTTAACAATTATTTTAAAAATAATTTCCCCGTTATGCGTTTCATTAACAAAGCAAACAGGGTCGTCCCCTTGGTCGACCAATTCCTCAGTCCCGCAAATCCCGCGGGATCCCGCTCCATTTATGTCCGGGATTAATCCCTCAAAAATGCTGCAGGATCCCGGTATTTCGGGATCCCGCGATCCCGGTATCTAGTACGAGACAATCTTTAAATTCTTCCCTGTACACGTACGGCATTCACTATAAAGAAAAATCCTAATATTTACTTTGAATGTTATTAAGTTCAAAGGCACAATGGCCTCGATAGACTACCCGAAAATTACCAAAAATTAACTAAAAACCTGGGCACGAATCCAAAAATCTGACATTAATGAAAACTCCATCTGGATCGCAGTTTGAGTCAATTAAATACACCGTTAATTAATTGAGAAAGAACACTTAAAGAATTTAAAACAACAATGCTGAAAAAGGCGCAGGTTTGTTGAATTAAATGGCAAAATTTGGTAGCCTTTCGAACGGTGAAAAACTTTTCATTTTAACGAATGAACAAACCTTTCTTCACTACGCTTCACTTACTCAACCTCGAACTGCTCCAAACAAAACGTCTACATGACGTTGTTTACACAACAATACCAAGAACTCAGAAGAACCTGAGGAATAAAAAAAGAACTTAAAAAAGTCCTGAATTTACGACTCCAGAGTTTCAAGTATATATACAGAAACAACCTTTCGAACGGTGAAAAACTTTTCATTTTAACGAATGAACAAACCTTTCTTCACTACGCTTCACTTACTCAACCTCGAACTGCTCCAAACAAAACGTCTACATGACGTTGTTTACACAACAATACCAAGAACTCAGAAGAACCTGAGGAATAAAAAAAGAACTTAAAAAAGTCCTGAATTTACGACTCCAGAGTTTCAAGTATATATACAGAAACAACAGAAGGAACTGGAATAGTTCACACAAACGGAAGTATCCAAAAAATAGAAAGAACCTGAATGTGCACCAATGCGAATAAACTAAATATCGGACTTATTCGAAGAGTTCGAACAATCCAAAAGAAATTAAGAATGTTATTAATCGTACACACCCAAAAAAATTAAATAGGCCGAGGAACGTGATGAATATCAATAATTGCAAAAATTGAATAGTCTAAAACTTAAAAGGAACGATAGAATCCGAAAAATAAGAAAAACGTGGAGTGTAGTCTGATGAAGCGTCCAAAGGATCTAAAAAAACACGACGTTTTCATGGTCACAATAATTCAACGAATCTGAGGAATCTGAAGAATCTGAAGAAACTGAAATATTCAAAGAATCTCAGTAAACAACATCTGAAAATAAAGATTGGGAAGAATTGGTACAATCTGAAGCATCCAAAGGGACGAAAGATTTCCAAAATTCAAACAATAATCGGAAGAATCCGACAAATGAAAAATCTGAAGTCTGGGGAAACTGAACACAATTTAACAAAATTCGCAAGTATTTTACGGTATAGATTCCTGGAACACTTTTGCAACTGTAAAACCAAGGACAAGCTTGTATTTCGGGATGAAATATTTTGGAAGCTAAACGAACAAATCGATAAGTACGTGTAAAAGGTAAATGGTTTCCAACTGGGGGTTGTACTCACAGCGCTATAAGGGATGAATAAATTAGTAGTGTTTAGAACTAATAACACTGGCCATATTCTAGTAAATAACAGCAAAAACAATGAGGACGTGCTGTACTTTACACGAGATACGCACAAGAAAACACAGGAAAAAAAAGTGGAAGGGGCCAAGATTAAATTTGTTTATAAATCGATTACTCTTTAAGGGTGTATGATCTATAGACAGGAGGTGTAAAAAAAATGGATGCATCATGAATGTCCTAAGTGTTATACCGAGGATAAAATTAAGGAGGTGATGGAAACGTTGATACGCAAACGTATCACTTTGGGCGTTTGGTTTGTTTAGAAAGAGTGCTTATATTGGACAAATTCACATTTAACAGTATCGTTTTCACTCCGCCATCTTGTCGGCCCTAGCGAATTGGACTACTTCCTATAACTCCCTTCGCAACCCTTACATGTGATACATTAGCTCTCGTGTAGCTCCCAGAGTAAAGCCCCGAGAATCCATTTACTTTAGAAAGACACCTCCACCTTTGTAACCCTTTGGCAGGCGTTTTGCTTCGAGATATTGGTTTATATTTTGTGATCATACGCCACTAATAGATAACCTACAAGCAATAATGGGGGTGAAGGCGGACCTCTTGATGGAAAATCAATTTACAATCGCTACAGGGATATCTAGGATAAAAGGAAGTAACCCGAATTCATTTTGCACGAATTACAGCGACGCGTTTACAATGAACGTGTAACAAAAACGACAAAAAGTCTTATTTTTCCAGCACATGCATTATCTAACAATTATTCCCGGAACAACCAAAAAATAAAACGTGTGCGCGGTTTAATCGCGAAGGGATTACGGCGATATCAATTATTCGAGCTTTATGTAATCGCACATTTTCACACCTATGTATTTATATCTAAAATTTCCGATAAACTTACTGGAGCATGCAAATGTGTACGCAACGCAACACTGGGTATAATTAATATTGTTAAGGAAGAATAATTTGCTTTGCTGCAATCGAACCAGTGCAATTACTTGATTGGAATGTCTGTTTACGTCATAATTTAGATGTTATCCCAATCACGCAAACTGAACGGAATCGGAGATGCGCCTGGTCGAAGAGTTAGCAGGAATGAGGTTAAGGTTCGCTGTTTTTAAGTTATGGGAACTTTCTTACAAGTTCACTGATACAGTGTCCGTCTAAAAGTATTGTATAAGCTGAAATACGTAATTGGTTTAAGACTGAAAGTAACTGTCACTATGTAGGAGTATAAATATCGAGTTACTCAGTGCAGATATCAGTCAAAGTTTGTATCTCAACGTTTAACAATGTTCACAGTAAGCAATTCGTTTGGTTTATTTAACCCGTTTGTTTATTCGACTTTTGCAGAAACTCGCCCTTGTTAGCTGCGTCGTTGTTGTGTGCTATGCCCAACATGGTGGCTACGGCCATGGTGCCTCATCCTATGTCTCCTCTAACCAGGGACATGACGGTGGAGTCCCGATCGCCGCCGGCCACGGATACGGCGGCCACCATGAACATGCGGTTGATTACTACGTAAGTCACAAGTGTACACCATACTGAGACTGATTGTAAAATTTAGGCGCATCCGAAATACGAATTCAACTATGGAGTCGCCGATGGTCACACTGGCGACCATAAAAGTCAACACGAAGTACGCGATGGTGATGCCGTTCATGGCGAATATTCCCTACACGAAGCTGACGGAACCATTCGTACCGTTAAGTACACGGCCGATCACAAGAACGGTTTCAATGCCGAAGTTATCCGATCTGGACATGCCGTCCATCCGGAAGTGCACGCGGCCCACGGACACCATGGCCATTATTAGACTGCTTTTGTTAGTGTACAGTATTGTGTTATAGCCAAATTGTGTAAATAAACCTGTTGTGATATCTACGCCAAGTTTAGATGGTGATCCGTTTCTGGTTTTCTCCAGCTCTCCATTCCACAAAAAAAGTCAAAAAGTTTAAGCTTCTAAAAGCAGGTCATCTGAGATGCGATAATTCCAGTTACGGTATGGGTTAAAGGCATATCGAGCCATGTGGACACGTCAAATCGTCGTTCCTTTAGCCATTATCTAAGCAAAGTCACAAAAACTTATTGTCATCAGTTTTCCAGGCGAAGATGAGGTTTTTGTCATTTCTTTTGAGGGTGGAGGGCCCTTATGAACCAACTGCATTTATTTCTGTTTCGTGGGGGCGAGGAGGGGGAGCTGTCATCGTTCGCCAAACGTCCTACCTTACCTGTTGCTGATCAGTCGCAGGTAAGGGGTAGATTCTCCAAATCCATCCCGCAGACCCTTTTTTTATACCGAAATCTTCATGTATAATATTGAACATTGCGCTTTCGGACCTGCACCCAAGCGGTTTCTATAATTTCAAACACACCATTCCTGGTGCTCGATTGTTTTAAATAAAGGTTTTCCTGAGAATGTTGGGTTGAGGGCTCAAACTTGTTTCTTCAACGTAGGTATGGATCAGGGTATGGATATACCAGAAAGTCAAGTTTTTGAATTTTTTGCCAGGACTTCCCACGTTCACAACTATCCAAATTCTTAAAAATTCTGATAAATTCAGAAAATTTTCAAAATTCAAAGAAGCCAAGAGTTTCTGGATAGAAAATGGGATATTTTGGAAAGGATCTATAGATCTGGAATGCTTTCCCAGAAAACTCTGAAAAGGCGACTTGAAGATTGCACAGATCTAGACCAATTTGAAGAGTAGAATACTTTGAAAAACATTTGCATACTCTGTAAGTTCAGTGCCCTAGAAAGAGTTGCTCGGATCCTTTCTGGAGATTTTGAGAGAGTAGCATACCTTAACCAAAGCTGGACAGGCCTCAGGAAAAAGAGCCAAGACATTCAGAAAATGCGCTGAACAGGTTCGAAGAACACTAAGCTTCTCGAAAACCTTGAAGACTCTTGAAAGCTTTATGTTTCCCTAAAAAGTCTGAATACTATAAATTACCAGGGTCATAACCGTCATTTTCAGAGCGTGGGAGGATATTTTCAAGGCTAAACAAGCCTAATAAAAGCCAGAAAAGGCCTACAGTGGATACATTTCTTTAAAGATGGCACAGAAAGTAACTGTGGGTAAGCAATAAAGTCCCCAGAAAGCTCGACAAGAACCCAAAAGCTATTGCAAGAGCTTAGAAATACAACCGGGGGTTCTTCAGGTTTTTTTGAAGTTTTATTTATAGCCATTTAGAACCATTCCTTCTCAGATCTATTCCAGATCCTAGAATGCGCGCAAAAGGAGATAGAAATTAGCTCTGAATGTTCTAAACATCCAGAAAATGCGCTAAACAGGTTCGAAGAACACCAAGCTCTTCGAAAACCTTGAAGACTCTTGAAAGCTTTATGTTTCCCTAAAAAGTCTAAATACTAGAACTTACGAGGGTCATAACAGTCATTTTGAGAGCGTGGCAAGATGTTTTCAAGGCTAAACAAGCCTAAGAAAAGCCAGAAAAGGTTTATAGGGGATAAATTTCTTTACAGGTGGCAGAGAAAGTAACTGTGAGTAAGCAATAAAGTGCCCAGAAAGTTCGACAAGAATCCAAAAGCTATTGCAAGAGTTTAGAAATACAACCGGGGGTTCTTCAGGTCTTTTTTGCAGTTTCATTTATAGCCTTCTAGGACTATTCCTTGGCAAAAATCTGAACATGCTAGAGGCCAAAAAGGGATTTTGAAAGCCGTTAAATGGTCTAGAAAAGGCCCAATGACCCTAAAAAGTAGTTATAACCCTGTGCGGGTACTATGAATCTCAAGAAACAACCTGGCAAGCTCTACAAAACTTTCTAAATTGGTTCCGGGCAGAGCTAGGCAGAATACTTTCAAAAAGTATTTGAATACTAAATACTTTTACGTCCAGCACAAGCGAATACTAGATACAGATATATTGAAAAGTATTCAAATACTTTAGAATGCATTCGAATACTTTGAAAAGTATTTCATTATCTTACTTTGAAAAGTATTCGAATACTTGTCACTCAAATACATTAAAAATTTAAAATAGTATACTATATAAAAGGCGTAATACTACTTAAAAAATCAAGTTATACTTTGTATGGGGTTAGCTTTTTTTATATTTCTATTGTTATATACAAATTTAAGGGGAGTAAAAGCGTATTATTATTATTGTATTATTATTATTATATTATTATATAGGAGGTACCTACCAGGACCTTTCTTATACCAGTTATATCTTTAAGAATACGTGTACTAGTTTTCAAAGCGTCGTGCACATGATACGTACGTCTTTCTGAAATTAATCCTAGCGATTTTGGAACAGATCCATTTTTGACCATCCGTTTGTCCGTGTGCATGATAACTTGTTTAGAAACGTGCAATCGCTTTGAAAATTGGTACACATGGTCTTAAGGATATAAGAAAGGTCCCTATTGTTTTTAAGTTACGTAGACTATCGAGTTCGGTATTCAGATGTATCGGATTTTTATATTTGATTTTGTGACAATGGAAACTTTCCCTAAACATTTCTAAATTGTTCTCAAATATTTGAATAACTTAAAAGTACTGCCTTTTTTTGAGGCCGGAAAAAAAAATTGTCTGAGATCGACCGGGATCGACATTTTCTTATAGAATTTGGCCCGTAAAATCCATAATTTCAAACAGTTTGAAGATTGGGCTACTAGATCAAAAGTTACAGCCCTTTGAATTTTTTTTCGAAATTTGTTTTTTGTCCATAACTTTTTATTGAGAGGTCTAATCGAAAACGTACGAATTGTTTTGGATTCTACGCACCAAAATTAATAAGAAAAAGTGTTTTCCCGAGAAATTTTGGTGTAGTCGATTTTTGGTAAAAAAGGAAGGTTATACACTGCCTTTTTTTGAGCCCCGAAAAAAAAATTGTCTCAGATCGACCCGGAAAAAAATTTTCTTATAGAATGTGGCCTGTAGAATCCATAATTTCAAACAGTTCCAAGATTGGGCTACTATTTCAAAAGTTACAGCCCTTTGAATTTTTTTTCGAAATTGGTTTCTAGTCTATAACTTTTGATTGAGAAGTCTAATCGAAAAAGTACGAATTGTTTTGGATTTTACGCACTAAAATTAATACGAAAAAGTGTTTTCCCGAGAAATTTTGGAGTAGTCGATTTTTGGTAAAAAAAAAGGAAGGTTAAGTATTCAAATACTATGCGAAGTATTCGAATACTTCTCAAAGTATTCAAATACCTTGTGAAGTATTCGAATACTTTACGAAGTATCCAAATTCTTTGCGAAGTATCCGAATACTAAATATTTGTTAAAGTATTTGAGTTACAAATACAAATACTGCTTCCATAAAAGTATTTAATTACAAAGTATTTGAATACTTTAAAGGATTTGAATACTAAAAAGTATTTACAAAATCAAATACTGCCCAGCTCTGGTTCCGGGGGTCTAAGGGAGTGTGTCCCCCCAGTAGAAACAGTTTTGTTGCTACCCCTAACCACCATGAGGTTTTAAATCCTCGCCACCCTTTGTCTTCTTATGACTGGGGGATATTCAATACCCTTTTTGCTTTTTTTCCTATGCAGATTGTGCTAGACATTTATAAGTGCTACTGAAGCGTGAAAAGCTCTGAAAAGGACCTGAAACGATCTAAAAAGTGTCTAATAACTCTACAAAGGCGTGTAGTTAATATATCTAAAGTTGTATAAGGGTGCTATTTAATATCTAAAAGGCTCGAGTAATCATTCACTTGGTAAATGAGTGGCCTACAGTGGAAAGTGATCACAAAATAATATCTGGAATGGTTTCCAATTTCCAATTTATTAAATCCAGTTAATTTTTTTTTAAGTTTGTGGCCTTACCACTCCTTCGCATCACATTAAAATCATCAGATTATTGAAATGCACACTATTCAACACGTAGTCAACCCACCATACTTTAATCTGAAGCGTTTGAGTAATCCCAAACTCCTCTATTGGCTCGCCTACTAATAGAATGTCTGAAACTAGGGGCGTAGTCGTTCTGGACACGCTATAACCTCTGGAAAGTGCTTATGGCACTTTGAAGAGTGTTTCAGTTGTTTTTAAGAGTGCTCCAAAACTATCGCTAACTTGAAATTTTCTACAATTCGTTGCAAGTACCCATACCTCAAAATCTCTCCCACCAATTGCGTAACTCCTTGGCGAAAAAGTTAATTTAAGACCACTATGTGTGCCATTATCATTAAATGTAGAGCTGCAATATTACGCTAGGACGTCTACATCGTAAAAATTTAAGAAAAATGCCTTCACCCTTCATACAGACTTGAGGAAAAGTGAGGAAAACATGAGAAAAGCTTTAGAGGTACGAAAACCATACAAGAATTTGAGAGGCACTTGGGCGTACCTTTGTGAGAGTATGAGGAGACATTTTAGGAGAATGAGGAAGAAAGACACAAGTGAATGTGAAAGTAATTTGAGGAAAACATGAGATAACCTTGTGAAGAATTTGAGGCGAGCTTCAAGAGAACATAGGACATCTAATAAAGAGCGTCCTCTGAGGATAGAGCTGTTGTTGGTCCTTTTTATGAGTCACTAAATCTCTCTTTCTGGCTTTTATTAGTGTCTACAGCTATGTAGTGGTTTAACAGGTCTGGTAAGAGTTTTTAAAAGTATTTAACCCTCCGTTATCCGCGGGGTAATTGTTTTTTAATTGTCGTTTGGGCAATTTTGTAAATTGCAAGTAACGCTTCAATTTTATTGTGCGAATGTTCTTCACAAGCAAACGTATTAACATGGGCAGTCGGTCTTTGAAGGAAATTTGGAAGGACCAAGGATCAAGTGCAGATTTTCCCTATGCAACACAAGGACAAAATGTTAAAACGGTGATCGATACCCATT